TGGTTTTCGTTCGTCATCTTTTCTGTAGAGTTGGAAACACAACAGAACTTTGTTAAATCAGTGAAGTTTTGATATCTTCAAACTGAATACCAAACCAAACATACAACACGTAACAATGGTGAAGTTTTTATATACTTCAAACCCGTACGTTTATTATTCCGGTAAAGTTTTTATATACTTTAAACCGGACAGAACAATTATTGGAGTAGAAAGCACGAAGGCTTTAGTCTCCAAAACAGTATACAAAATATGAATAACAGTTTAATATATGTTTCAACACAGAAACGTTAGTATAAAATTCCTTAAGCTTGTGAGCGTTACTTGTGTGTCCTTAAGGAATTTTAACCCCCTCACAAGTTGCCAAGGTAATGGATTAAATCCTCCCAGGATAAAACGGAATAAACCTTCCTGCAACAGTGGCAATACAAACTGCAGGATCCCAACGAACTCAAAGAACGGAGCAAAATCACACTTACGAATTGGATAGAGAGAGACTGCGAATTAGGATGCAGTATATTCAAAAAGAAAGAAGTTCTAGAGTGTTTTTCGTGTGTAGAAAATGGAGCCTTGCCTCAGAATTTATAGGCAATTATCAGAAGAGGTCTCTGGAAAAAGTGCCTTTTCAGAAGAATACGCTGTCTGCCGCGGTTACGGCAGAACCGCGGTCAGAGAGGCTCTCTGAATCTGCCTGCCGCGGTTCTACCGCGGTTACGGTAGAACCGCGGCCAGAGAGTCCCTCTGAATCTTCAGCAGGGTTCTGGCGTATTTTCAGCAGTGATTTGACAAATCCAAATCCAAATCCAAATCCAAATCCAAATCCAAAGCCGAAGCCGAAGCCGAGCCGAGCGACGACGCGAGGGTTCATTCTCTTCAACTCCTTTTAAGAGCTTTAAGAAGTGATTCTATATATAAGCACACAAATGTGATTGTCCCTCACCAATAAGGGACAAAGTGCAAGACAAAAGTTCACTTCTTCAAATTTTCATTTTTCCCTCCATTTTATTTCCCTCCATTTCCAATTCACACTTCTTCTACTTTAAAGCCCAATGGCTTAAAAGTCCAACAAGATGTCCAAGAGACAATGCTTAGGGCCTGTTTGGATAGTCACTCTGTAATTGGATTTGAGTGTAATTGGGTGTAATTACACGGTTTTGGTATGTTTGTCTGGCCAAGTAATTACTTGGTCAACGTGTAATTGGGTGTAATTGAGGAGGTATAATTACATTCTGCAATTCTCAAGGGGGAGCTGAGAATTGCTGGTAATTACATGGTGTAATTACCTGGTTATTTTTTTAATCTCTTTTCTTTTCTTTTTAATTTATTTTTGATTTCTATTCTTTTTTTTTATTTTTTCTAACCTTTTAAATTCTTCGCATTATTTATTTATTTTTTCTTTATTTCTCATTTCCCAACATTTATTTCACATGTTTTTACATAATTTCTCATATTTTGTTTCTTTCTTAATTTTTTTCTCTATTTTTTATTACACTTAGCTATGTTATTATTCTAATTTATCTAAAAAAAATATACCTCGTAATCTTAGAAAGAATAAGTCATCCACAAACTTAACTTATAATGAGTGATGTCATTAAAGTTGAAATTTGTTATTGGATGAGGTTATATGCAAACTTAACTATGCTAAAATAACAGATTACTTTTTAATATGTAATACTCTCATTTTCTAACCTTTATTTCACTCCCCATTTAACTTCAAAAAGATTTAACAACATGATCCACATATACCATACTGGTATTAGTGCAAGCGAGTAATTTGAGGCCTTAGAACACATGTCAACATGGTATAATTGCTTTATTCCCTTTCTTTAGAGATAACGCTGAGTTAAGCATACTTCATGACCATAAATACAGCAAAAGCATGCTACTTGCAAGGGTGCTTTGTTTTTCCAAAGCATTTTCCAAGTAAAATTAGATTACTAACTGATAGCAGGTCACAGAAACACGCCTCCTTCCTCTCGACTTCCAAAATAAGGAACTCGGTTACAAAAATAACGTCCTACACTTCCTCTGACTTACCGAAGGGCTGGATTACTCTATCAACCTAGACTCCAAAAATTGCTACAGAATGGCTCTTTTTTGTTCTACATTCAACATTGTAGCCTCAGTATACCCGAGAAGGTTCTAAGGATAAGGGAAGATTTCCTTAACTAGATATCTTGTCCAGCTATATATCCTGCCAGTCTTATTTTTCTCCTATCAGCAACTTTCAGTTTCTCCACGTTTTTGCGATTTGGCACAAAGGTATCTAATGTTGTGATGCTACTGATCAGTACACCAGAATCGTCCCGTGTAATTTGACCAGATTTGCATTTAAATTTCCCGGAGCCAGTAAACAACTCCTTCCACCTATAAAATAACCATTCTAGCACCTGCACTTCTCCCTACTTTTCAATTCTATAAAGCTCCAGCTAATTACTGTTGACCTCGTTTATATAAGTTCCGACTGTCTATCTATTTGGAGCGACTGTCCCTACAGTTGAACTTCAACTCAATTTTTCTAACTCTTCTTTGGTGTTTTTTGCTTCGACAAACAGGACTTTCAAAGAGCTGCATTACCCTGACCCAACTTATATAAACACTCCCATCTCAAAACTTCCCAAAAATTCCAGCAAAAATATTATTCTATAAGGCTCCCAGTCTTTAGCAACATTCAAAAATCCTAATTTACTTATAAACAACTCAAATTTAAGTTTCAGTATGACGTTTTTCTATCAAAACTAACTTTTCAATCATCACTTATTTATTTTCTTCCACTACTACCAAAAGGATACATAAGTCAAATTGAGGTCTTTAACTCTCTATCAAGTCAAACGCCAACATATACCATGTAATTAAACTACTCTCGAGTTACATTATTAACGATTATGTCTAACACTTATTCAACGTAACTCATTCTAATGTCTCTTTTTGATAAACTAAAAAGCCAAGCATTCAACCAGAAACTTTTATGTGCCTTTTCATTTCTTAAAGGATCTTCTGCAAATCCAAGCTAAAAAGACCACTTACCAAGAGATGTCCCAGAGACAGATGCAAATGCTTAATGTGGAAAACCCATAACGACACATTATGGTTAAGTAAACTATTATTAAGTTCAATGCACAGAGAAGCAAGGTCAGACCCACACATCTATATTTATGGGTGCTTGAGCACCAACCATCTTTAGCTTTGAACTTAACATGGATGTTAAAATTTTAATAAGAAAATAAATTAAGCCCATTAACACCCACTTACACAAAAGACCTCTGGGCTCAGCAGTTACGAAGGTAGCATTCATGCTTGAAGTTAGTGGTTCAAATCCCTTTGACATCTTTTTTTCATTCCATTATTTCCTCGCTTATATTTCCATGAACTTGTACTCCCACCCCGACTTTAATAATCCTCTTTTTTCCACTTTTTTGTGGGTCCATAATCTTTTTCCACTTGAAAAGTTATTTTTCATTCATAAATAAAAAATTTAGACATATTATTAAAATATGAGAGGATCATTCCGATACTTTGTCAACAATTTCATGATACCCATAGATTATGTTATCTATCATATCAATATTTCTCAAAAAAAATATTTCCTAATGTGGTAGACATTGACTCTTTTCTTGCTTTTCTTTTTTCCTTTCTTTTGCTCATCATCTACCACCCATCCAATTCCTTTCACCAAGAACACAGTCTCACAAAGTCTAGTTCTCCTCTCTCTTACAAGTTACAATATAGTAGAGACAAATTCAGGATTTAAACTTAACGGGTTTAATATTTATGTTCTCATCACTAAATTCATTGTACGCTTGCAATTATCGGCACAGTATGTAAGAAATTTTGTGATTTCTAAAATATACAGTTGTGTTATGTGAAAGTGATACTAGAGTCAATTGAACCCGGTGAAACTACCTTACATCTGTGCATGTAATAGAGCACCCTCAACTGCTACTGCATGGTAGTTACAGAAATAAATGAAAACAAGGTCCCCGAAATAGCCATCACCCCACAAGAATAGCAGACACTTCAAATACCAACAAGAATAGAAACACTCCGAACATCAATTTCTATCCTCCATTCCTGGAGATCCTAGTTTATTTCTTGGAAAAAAATCAGAGTAAGATTGCTTAAGCAGATATGGGTTTTGCTCTTTCTTAGTGGTTATTGATCTTTCACTTAATAATTGAAAAACATATTAAAAAATCTGGCCAAATTGGCAGCGTACACATGCACAATGACAAATTTACCAATGTGTGAAATAATAATAATAATAAAAAAATATTTAGTGTGATTGCACGTTGAAGTCTATGCAACAGAATAGGAAAAAAAGAAGGAAAACGAGAGAAGGGGAAGGGTGGCTGAAGATTGAACTATTACTAACTTAAACTCCATCTGCTTCAATTTATGTGTCTCAATTTCTTTTTTACTCTGTTGCATAAAGAATACCTCTTTCTACATTTAGTAAGCTTTTAATTCCAACATTCTCATTTTAACCTTAATGACACCCCCCTCATAGGAATAACATTTGCCATGTCCTACCAAATCGACCAAATATTGTAAAGCAGAATCCTTTGGGAGTAGATCTTGCATTTGGTCTCTTATAGTGGTGGCCACTTCGCTCTCCCTTAGGGTGGCGAGTAGGCACACCGATGATAAGTCAACCCTTCGACGGAGCGCATCAACAACTTAGTTGGTCTTCCCACTTCGGTACTCCAGGTTGAAGTGAAATTCCGCTAGGAGTTCCTGCCACCTGGCCTGTCGGCCATTCAACTTTGGCTGGGTCATGAAATGGCTAACACATGACTAAAAACCCACAAGACTCAAAGGTTATTTTTCGTATATTATATAAACCTTTAGTTAAAGACCAAAAAATTCTATCTTCTTTATGTTCTCAAATTTCGTGCCAATCAAACTAAGACACAAAAAATGAAATGGAGGAAGTAAGTTCTTGCATTCTTATTACATATGCAAGTTGAATAGCACGATACAAGTATAAATAAGCTTGTACTTACTGAAAAGGCAAATGATTCATAATCCCTATGGATGATGCTATTGAGGACAACAAGGCTTCGCGAGTAAGGAAAAGAATGCCCTTATCTTCTTGTCTTACAGCCACATCTCTATGTCATACCACTCAAAATTGTTTTCTTTAGGACTATAAGTTACGAGGAACCAAGGAGTTTCAATGAGAATTTCGTCCAAAATAGGAAGAAAGACACAAGGCTGAAATGTAGTCCAGACCTTATCTCCCAAGACCTTACAGTAATAACCGCCAAAAGAACTATGAATCAGCCTATATATGCTTATACTGTACTCCAAAACCCATTGAACACCATTCTTTAGCTTCCAAAGAAGAAAGCAAGATGCATCTCGATTGAAGCAATAAAGATGGCCTCTTGATGCTCCGATAGAACCTACATACTCATCTGTGATCAGCTGAAATGGCAATTCAATGGTAGACCAAGCATTCAAATTAGCAAGATTGGATTTTACGCCTATGCAAATGAGGCATCCATCACGAGATATCTTGTACAGAACTCCATTTAGATAGACGGAAGTTTTAAGCCACCCTACTCCAGAAACCTTTGGTTCAACAGGAAGTTTGTACTCGATCCAGTCTCAGAAGAATAAACATCCACAAAAATAAACATCCACCAATCTAATAGTGACTTTACCAACCGAGTGAACAAACCAAATAATCTTGTATTCTAAGGACTCGCCTGGATCAAAAACTAGCGAACAGTCCACCAAGTTGGAATTTTGATGCTTTGAATTAACAGATATCGGAATAGTTTGCCTCGTAGCTGGATTACCAACTAAATACTGAGTGCGTTCGTCGTCACTGCAGGATATAAGAAGCAAACCATTGCAACAATCCTGTAGATCCTTAGTCGTACAAGTGAACTTTATTCAGTGAACGGCGCTGATGAAAGAGGGTATGGTAATGTCCATATGGAGTGAATACTACAGTGGTGGACTTGGATGGGTCACTAGTAAAGCCAGGACCAAAGGTACCACAGATAGGGGCAGAAGGAGATGGTGGAGATAATCTAGGAACACAAGTATAAGAAATCAGAAAGTACCAATCTTTGGCCACCCTTTTGAACGCAATCAGAGGTTTTTCCGGTAACCGGCACAAAATCTCAACTTTCAAATCAGCCGACAATTTGGACCAATCGGACGACTCCTGTTCACCTTGCTCCTTCAGATCTCCACCGCCGTTCTCCTCCAACGCCATGGATTTAGATGGATAAATTAAAGTTCGGATTTTATTTGTGTGTGTATTTCTCGAGTCTGAGAGTTTACTATTTTTTGTGTGGCCGAACACCTAAAATATTATTAGTATACGTTTCTGCGCAATGCGCGAATTAGTTCAAACGGAAAATGAGCGGAGAGCAATAACATAAAAAGACGTATATTGCAGACAAAATTTATATTTTATAATGCATATTTTAGCTTGAAAGGTATTATATTTTAAAATTAGAGGTTCAGACTCCTTACTCGATTATATAAGGCTGCATCCTCCTTTGAGGCAAAAAGTATAATGGACCTGACTAATCTATAATATGCAGATGAACAATTAAGGCAAAAGGAGTGACAGTTTTTGAGTTGAGATACACAGAAAATAAAATGTATTTGAATCTCCTCAAAAAGCAGTAGTGTATCAGCAGGTTGCACGCAACTCCTATCAAAGCAGTAAAGAGAATAATCAGTAGAAAGGCAAGCTTGATGATTTCATGAAATGTTTGGTACAAAAATCTAATAGTACTTAATTGACCAACCACTTGAATTGGAGCCCAAACTCTTTGTCCATGACTCATACTGAGGCATGGTATTAACTGACAGTATCTTAACACATAAAATACAGAATATGTTTTACTACTTGTGAATCAGATTGAGGTACTTTGTCTATTTAAGAAAAAAGTACAAAATTTACCTTCACAATTATTGTTTTGAACTCAACCAAGAAAAATGGCACAACGATGGCCAAAAGTGTTAATAAAAGTAATTAAAAGACCCTGATATGTGAACCGTCGTGATACTGCTAAAGTTTAATTAGTTCACTCACAGTAAATACAAAACATTCCACATGAAGAAATATGGATATTATCGAAGAAATAAGACAAATCTACGAAGGATCTGGCCTAATTGTTGTATATATTGTAGTGCTAGAATTCTCTTTCGAACGGCAAAAGCGGATTGTGGTTTTGATATGCCTGCAGAGAAATATAATTATTTTAGACAGGGCGCATGAAGTTGTGAAAAGCAGAATAACAAAAATCATAACTGAGTTAAAAGAATATATTTATAAATATACAAATAATTTGGACTTGATGTATATATTTTAGTTATAGAAGTCCTCTTTCCAACCGCACAAGTGGATTATTTATTCGACTTGTGTGCAAATAGATGTGATCTTTTAGTCATAATGCGTAAAGATGTGAAAAGTATAATTTAAAAAATTTATAACTGAATTAAAAAGCATATCTATATTAATTTACAAAGAATTTGGACCTTAATATTTATATATTGTAGTTCCATAAGTCCTCCTTCGAATGGCACAAGCGGATCGTAGTTTCGACGTTCCTGCAATGACAAATAATTCTTTTAGTATGGTCGCGCAAACCTGAAAAAATTATAATGATAGAAACTTAGAATTGAATTCAAAAGAATATCTATTTGAATATACAAATAATTTATACCTGAATTTTTTTATATTGCAATTGTAGAAGTCCTCTTTCCAACGGCAGAAGTGGATCGTGATTTTGATATGTGTATGGAGACTAGAGAGATTTGATTTTTTAGTCAGGACACGCAAAGTCGTGAAAAGTATAATATATGAATACTATAAGTAAATTCAAAAGCATATATGTATAAATCTACAAAGAATACCATGCGGTTGCATTTATTGTGGTTCCAGAAGTTCTCTTTCCAACAGCACCGGCGGATCATGGTATCGACATGTGTGCAGAGATATATTATTATTTTACTCAAGACATGTTGTTTCCATTGAAGTTTATGATCTCATGAGTTTGTATACTGAATTACTTTAAAAAAGAAGGATCAAGGAAAAGGAAATACAAATAGGTGTATACCTCTTCTGTATGACCTTTGAATATAGAAACATCAAAAACAAATTAAGTAAATATCATGAGAAGTCCTTCAGATATATGAACACATATGGAATAGTTTTCGTAAAGTTCACTCCCCAAATCTGTAAGGTCAATTGGTTTCGTATTTAAAGTTTTCATTTTTGATGAACAAAGTTATTTCCCAAACACTAACCACCACAGCTAGTTCAGTATGTCAATAATTTCGTTACACGCTCACTATACTTTTTGGACAAAACTTGCATGCCCATTTATCCTTTTCACTTTTTCTTCTGTTTTTATTTTTGTGTAATACAATGTATGCAACTTTTGCCCCTAAACGAACAGCAAATTGGCAACAAAAAAAAACACCAAAAAAGTTCCAATTAATGTACCATAACTGTAATTTCAATAGTTTTGTAATCACTCTAGTTAAGTTTCTTTTGTCTCTATATAATAGAACTAACCTAATCAACTTCAGCTTGCGCACCTCACGACAATTTTCCATTAAAGTACCAGGGAATTTTTTGTGTGTGATTTTTTCAGATTTTGAACTGATATAGATATAAATCTTTGATAAAAAAAATTGAGCAAAGTCAACAACTTTAAGCGACCACATCTTGTGAAATTGCTAGTTCAATTAAGTTAATTTAAACACCACAATTCTGTAACCAACATGACGATTATTTTGAAATGAGGAAGAACTTTGCGGTGGTGGAAACTGGGAAGTGTAGTTGCAAAATTCAAAGTCCAAATCAGAAAGGAACTCTACTGGTGAAGAATGTCCAAGGTAGCAAAACTTTAATTGGATGGGTTCTAAGGAAACGTACCATATTGTACCTCAAACAATAATTGCAGTAGAACACATAAAAATTAACTTAACTTATAATCCAAAGCAGAATTAACATATGTATGTTAAGCAAACGTAAGGACGTAATCAGAACTTTTGGGTAGAATAAACATGCAAGTATAAAAATAAATCAGGTTAAGAGAAGGTAAATCTAATTTACGCCAAAAAAAAAAAAAAAAAAAAACACAAAACAACTGTATTAGAATAAAGAGACTGCATAGCAATCATATTTATCACTTCTGATATGTCTTGATCATCAGTTTTTACCGTTCGTAACTTTAAGAACAATAGTATATGATTTTATATTGCCAATCTGCAAAAAATAATAAACGTTCATACCATTATTAGCCGAGGAGTGTTTAGGCCGTTTTTGCTTCCGTATGCATATTCTATTTTTTCTTGCCAGTTTCTTCTCTTCTTCCATGGAAACTGAATTTTGGTGTGAGAAGTTGTAAAGCCGCCTGTTGAAGAAATTGCAGTTGATGATATATTACGCCTCTTTTTCGCAGAGAAAATAACTGTGCCTCTTTGTTGGTTAAAATAGGGTATTTGTATTTTAATGCCGTCTTACTTAAGTAATATTTAATTCAATAAATCTCTGTTAAAAAAAAAAAAGAAGTTCGGCTCTTCATGTTCAAAGTTAAAGAGTAAAAAAAGGTTTGTTTTAAAATCAGTTAATCTTTTATAAATAAAAAAATATTTAATATTTTAAATATGAAGAAATCTGGAATTGTGAAGGAGTTTTTTTTTCAAATAATTTTATAGCTCCTATTTTTTTGAGGATTGTCCTAAAGGACCAAGTGACATATTCTAATGATGCCACTTGGCGAAGTGAGAATATTTTTTCTTCTACTTTTAATTATAGATTATAGATAGATACTACTTGGTTTCATCTATTTAGTGCGCACTTAAATTATTCATAATTCTAATTGCCCCCTAACTTTATTATATGGTTGCATTTACCCGTATACAAAGAGAGTGGATACTCAATACTCTTTTAGGCGCGTGAAGAAGTCAGCTGTCCAGTGCGCTAATTTTCAACAACAATAACAAATTTAATGAATTTCCACAAGTAAAATTTGTATGTATTCTTACCCCTATTTTGGAGAGGTTGTTTCAATCCTTAATGCTCATATATAATAATTTATTTATTTCAATTGCGTATGCATATTTTTTATATTTTTGAGGTGCAATTGTTACTTGTTCCAATTATATATTTCTTTTTTATTTTCAACCAAATTTGTAAAAAGAAAACTTGATTGGGATTTCATTACTTTAGCCACATAAAAGATATTTCAGCCAAAATAATGAAATATCAATTCTATTAGTATTTTTTATTTTTCTTTAGGATGCAATAACTATTTAATTTAATTCAGTTGTGTAGTTTTTTATCCCGGCCAAACCAGTAAAAATACTTAACTAGAGCTTCATTATTTTTAGCTAAATAAAAAATATTTATCCAAAATAATGGAGTTCCATCAATCGGAAATTTTTACAAATTAGTGAATTATGGCAAGAGCCATTTCTTCCATCTATCTGCATGGAGCCAATAGATGGAGGGGACAATAATAAATCCTTAATTTATCTTGTCTAAGATATTTATTGTGTCATCAATTGTAACTCCAGCATTAAGAGGGACCTTGATATATTAAGACAAGTGGCATCTCTATGGTTAAACACCTCAATCTCTCTCCTCTCTTACGTAAATGTGGAGATTTAGTACCATGCTGAAAAATAGAGCCGTCAATATAGGTTTGGCCCGTTGGGCCAGCCCAGCCCAACCCGTAATTTAGCAGGGTTGGGCTAGAATTTTTAGAGCCCGTTTAAAAATGAGGCCTTTAAGCCCGTGGCCCGTGAGGCTTGACTGATGCTGGGCCGGGCCGACCCGTAGGCCTAATAAAATATTTATTTAAAAATATATAAAAAATAAAAAGTATACTGCCTTTAGAGATGGAAAGTCAGATTTGGATCTTTACTAAGAGGAACCAAAACTTGATCTTGAGAAATTTTAAGAGATGGATGTTGTCATGTATTGGAAGGACCATTCTAGAAAATATCCCGATCTTTCAATGATGGTGTGTGATGTACTTAGTATTCACCATTGTAGCATCGGAATCAACATTTAGCATTGGTGGCGTGTTCTTACAAAGTATTGAAGTTGCATTTGTTATGAAAATGTCCAAACACTTATTACTACTCGAAATTGGCTGCACAGTTTTTTCCGAGCTCAAACTAGTAATATTTTTTTATGTGAATTTAAATATTATTAATTTTTAAAATTTAATTATTTTTTTATATTTAACTAATTAATATTGCATATGAATTGTAGATGAAAGTGAAGATGTTAAGACAACCTTGTCACAAGCGGATTCAAATGTGTTTGATGAAGATGATGTGTTGGATATCTCATAAGCATCATGAATGTTCTCTTGAATAGTTTGTTTTAAGTTTTGACTTTTAGTGAATGAAATATAGTCGTCTTTTACTTTCTTTTTTTAGTATTTATTGTGATATATTGGAACAATTAAAAAGTTATTAAGTTTTGCGAATTTTTTCCAATAAGATATTTTTTAACTTTTAAATAATTATCTTTCTTTAGGTCAGAACTTAAAGAAAAAATAAAAAATTATATTTTTAAAAATGATGGGCCGGCCCGTGGGGCCCACATAGGGCTGGGGTGGGCTGACCATTATAAGGCCCATCAAAATGGTGGGCTAGCCCAGCCCAGCCCGCCAATTGATAAAGCCCACGTGGGCACCGGCCCATATTGACAGCTCTACTGAAAAAGATATCTGAAAGATTAATATTAAAGGGTAAATAAATAAATAAATAAATAAATAAATAAATATATAGAGAGAGCGCGCTAATTTTTAAAAAAATACCACATGGACAAAAAAATCTATGTGGCAACGGCGTCTCCATTGAGTTAGAAATGCATGTATATGTACTACTAAATTATTCAGGGAAGAGATTTAAGTAGTTATGCAAGTTGGTATTAGAAAGAGATTATCTTTCTTGTCCGGCTGTTGTGTGGGCTTTTGCAGATTTAACTTTAATACCTATTTGACTTTTTCTGACAGCTCTATTTGACAAATTATTTTTTTCAAGTGGCACCCTTCGCTTAGTCGTACAAAATTAACTCGATTTTCTGTTCATGATCATCCTGATTGTCTTGACTTTATGTCATTGATCTGAGATGAGCATAAAGAATAATTTTTTAGCTTAATTAAACGTGAAAAAAGTCATTACCATAATTGCTGGAAACATATCTAATATAGAAGCTCTACAAATTGCTATTGATGGTTAATTAACGGATTCAGGTAATTAATTTTAGCTGAAGAAGTTGGAGACTTATTAATTAGGTGGCAACTCTCTTTAATCAACAGAGAAACCACAAATTGAATCATGTCTTGACTAGTACAAAATAGGATGCAACAACAGTTGCTCGGCGTTCGCAACCCTGAAGTCTCCTTCTATCTTATCATAGCTGTTTATTTCTTTTCAGACAATTTTACTGTCATTCAGACCATTATCTGTATTATTCTAGTAGTTCGTGCTTGTGACACCAGATCCGGAGTTGTATTTAGATATTTCGGTGGTTATGACTTTTCACACTTTACTTCTATTCTATTTCAATTATTTCAGTTTAATTGGCATTAAGTAATTTGATTTATTTAAAAATGGGTTAAAACTATTCTAACGTTGGCTTGTCTGGCAAGTGAAATGTTAGGCGCCATCACGGTCCCGAGGGTGGGTTTCGGGTCGTGACATTTTAAACATAAGACCGGGGAAGTTCAGGGGGACTGGGACACTTAGTAGACATATGAAAATTACTCATATTATAGAATTGGCTCTAATTTAGATAAAAATCAAGGAACTCTAAACCCTAGTACTAGATGATTTTTGAGATATGATAAAATGAAGGATCGTGAGGAGTTAGCAAAAATAATTGCTTTGGGTCATGTCTACCTTCTTCTTTTGCTTCTTCATCATATTTTATTATGTATATTCAAAGAATTTATAACCCTTTATTTAGAGGAATCCCTAGAAGTACTTGTAGATCTGATATCTTTAGGCTTCATGATATCAAACATATAAGCGTTATTTGTTGGACCACCTTCCTTGTAAAGTTTCTCTAACTTCTGATATTGGTCATGCTATTAATGGAAATGATTATTTGACAATTACATGTCATTGGATAGATGATAATTATTGTATGCAAAAACGTATTATCGCTTTTAAATATGATGAAGATCGAAATCATGCTGCTATTTTTATACTATTTGCGAAGCTGTTGTATTTTACAATCTACATCTATATTTATATTATTATAAAAGCACGAATGTTCCATGCTAAATGTTGAACGGCGAAAATATTCCTAAAACATTAACCGACTTTTATACCCTTCGTAACTTAAAATTATTTCTTCAAGAATGTACTAGCGTGTTGGATAAAATTATAATGTTTACTGCCTACTTTACAGGAGTTTCAAATCAAGTTACAATAGAATTTTGTAAGGTAATATGACTACACCAACATGTAGAGAGAGAAACTCTAGCTTCTCACTATCCTTCCTCCCTTCCTTCTCCTATATCACCTCTGCAACTCACTAATATGTCTACCATGCCCAATGCCCAGCTAACTGACCCCTTGACATTAGCACCATGAATATAGACGATCCAATCAAGACTGACCAACACCCCTCTTTCCTACAAACTCTACTGAACAATCACAATCATTGCATGCCAACTATCTCCAATTCTCAATACAATATAGACATGTCCGATGAAACCATACAAGAGCAAGCTTTGGAAAATTCCATTCCACTATCCACGGAAGATAAAACTCGACTCTATTCCCCTTGGAAATATTCAATAATCATCAAAGTATTCGGAAGAAAGGTGGGTCACCTAACCCTCAAACAAAAAATTCAAACACTATGGCAACCTACGGAACCAATGCCTTTAATTGATTTAGGGAATGAATTTTTCCTTATCAAATTTCAAAAAGAGGAAAACATGAATAGAGCACTACATGGAGGTCCATGGTTTGTACTAAACCACTTCCTATCCGTTCGAAGGTGGGAACCAAAATTCCTAGCTTCAACCACTAAGCTCACCTATACAGCAATTTGGTCACGACTGCCTGAGCTGCCTACGGAGTTCTATGATATAGAAATCCTCCAAAAGGTGGGTAACAAACTAGGTAAACTACTTAAAATCGACACATGTACATCATCTACCACAAGGGGTAGATATGCAATGATTTGCATTGAGGTTCCGCTTGAAAAACCACTAAAATCCCATGTGTTTATTGGGAATCATCGACAACAAGTTCTCTATGAAGGGTTGAACATGTTATGCACCATCTGTGGACGAATTGGCCATACCAATATCCAATGTCCAAATCATAGACAGCAAATCCCACTACACGTTCTAACCTATAACGAACCCCACGCACAGGACACCCAAAGCGGTGCAC